TATAAAATATAAAACATCTAAATATAATTATATTTAAGAAAATATTTTAGCAGTAATTTATAATAATCTTTCATTTTTCATTTTTTTATAATAATTTTCTCTAAAATATTTTGAGAATCTTTCTATTTATTTTACAAGCTGTCTGTAATCAGTTGAGCATGTACATGTATTTGAGTACAGCAAAATGGTTGCGATTCCTGTGCACATCAAGTTAAGAATATGCATTTCTATATAATCTAACTCTCCTGTCTCTGCCAATCTCCTATTGTTGACAGGAAGCGCTTTGAGAAAGCAGAGGCTGAGTATGTTGCCGCTAAGATGGACTTGCACAGGAAAACGGAGGTGAAAGAGCAGCTGACAGAGCACCTGTGTGCAATCATCCAACAGAATGAGCTGCGCAAGGCCTGCAAACTGGATGAGTTGATGATTCAGCTAGAGCTTAATGCTGAGGATGTCCCCATCCCAGAGGAAACAGATCTAGAGGACAAAGAGAGGGAGGCCAACTCCCAGCCTGTTACTGAAAACGGTCCTGCAGCAGACACGGAGGGGCGTACAGAGGTGGATGGCTCAAGTATGAGCAAAGACAGTTCCATTACAGAACCAACGATCAGCCAAGACAATCAGGAGAGCAAAGCAACAGATGTTTCTGCAGATGGGCTAAGCTAGCTTCCAAACATCATCAGTTTAATAGAGGCTGTATGACAGTTTACATAACACTTGCTACCAACTTTAGAAATTGTGAGAGTGTTGAACAAACCAACAATCCTGCATTTTGTGAGGATAAAAGGCAGCCTCAGTGTGATATTGGTGTCAGGTTTCCAAATACTGTGAGCGTTATTCCATTACTACTACTAGCATTAAAAATGCCTGAACATTACAGGGCTAAAATATTGATTATGATCTGTTAAGCTCGGTTTTTGGTTTTAATTGAGGGTGCTACATGATCCTAAATGTGGGCAGTTAAAATAGTGCTATGTATTTTATTGTGGTTCCTTTGGATGTCAGTCATTTGTACAATTTAATCTGTCTTCCATTAAGTAAATGGAGTACAAATCTCTTGAAAACACTGTGCATCTTAAAAACACTATAAAAGACTAAATACTGTTAACTTGATTGTTTTATAATTTTGACATTATTCAAAATGGAATAGACAATACAATACTGGTGGTAGTTTGTAGCTGTGATTTATTTCACATGATGTTGCACAAGTGAATGTTGGAATCTTTTATCTGTATATGGCTTGGGGGTTTTTATCATACAAAGCTGACAGTTTGCTCAGCAGAGATGAGAACAATTGATTCGTACTGCAGAGGAAAAAACGGTTGAAGTGTGGGAAGTTGAATGAATGGCATAGTTTTTTTTAATACATATGTTGTATCATTTATACTTTTCTAATAAAACTCAGATACACCATGCAGAGCTTTGCACCAACACTAAAACATTTAACATTGTATAACAGTACGGTTATGTTATTTAAAAATGTTTTTAAAATATATTATGAATGTCATGAATTTGACTATATTCGTGTGCATTATAATGACTATAAAATATGCTATAAATTCAATATTTAAATTATCTGTTGGGTGAATAAAGTGTTTTAATATTTTAACCGATTTTGTACTTTTTATTGCACACCTCATAGCATGTTTAAAAATGATCCTTTGGAATACACTTTGCATTTTTGCTTGCGTTTTAAACATTGTTTAAAGTGGTAATGCATTCGTTATTTGTAAATAATATGGAAACTGTTCTCATATTTTCATATAACGGTTTATTTTATAAACGAATTTAAGGAAAGCCACAAACCCTATTCAAGTGTCTCTCGACTTCTAAGGCTCCTTATATCCACCTAAAACTCTACAGCGATTCAGTAATGTCTGGACAGCCCTTGAGAAACACATAGACAAATATTTGCAAATTAACATTTTTAACGCTTTTTTTCAGCCCCACTTAAATTCTTGTTAAAACATTGCTCTTTTACTCCATCATCGACTTAAAGCAAAAATATTGATACTAATATTAATTTTCATATGTAACAGTAAAAATTTATTAATCAGAGCCATTGTATGAAATCATCACGATATTAAATACAATATTCTATTCTTTTCTATTCTGGTTTGACTATATAAAACAAGGACTGACAAATCCTTGAAGTAAATACAGGAAAGGAGATTTTCGTGAAGCTCAGTTTGTGAGAGCGCATTTCTGATTTATGTGCCCTCCGTCCGTCGGGACAGGTTGAAAAGACTTCGTAACCCGAGAAACTCGAGGGAAAAAAGAAAAAAAGCGCACGAGATCAACTTTTACTGAAACTTTCTGCCTTCTGGCAAGTCATTGGTTATCCGGTTTTGATCATGATGATTATGCAACATAATGTAAAATGAAAAGCAACGACTGTTAATGCTATTTCATTTTAAAAGTCATTATGCTAATTAAAGTCATCTCCGTCATCTTATTGTAACCATAAAAACATCCTATTTTAATCTACATAAAAGATACACTTCTCAAAAAACCTTAACATATACACAAAATCGTTGTAGCCTAATCTAAAATGTTTACAGTTTTATATTGTGAGTATATTAAAATAGCCTAAGGAACAACCGCTAGTTAGAAACATAAATATCATAAATCAATACAAAAGTGCTTAGCCAACTGCATTAAATCGTGAGATAAATCAGACTGATTTAACAGAACATTTTAACACTGAGAACAATATTGCCATGGTTTTAATAGGCCTAAAACTTTTTGTTAGACCATATTTGTAAATATGGTCTAACCAAATATGATTTACTACGACTATGTCGACGGAATTCCTCCTGTTAAACAGGATCAAGTGCGGTAGTGCTGTCCATTGACCCCTGGTGCTGATTAGACGACCGCGAGCTTTTATTTCACTAATTACAATTAAAGTGCCTCCTTCTGTGCTCACGCTTCATATCCTGCGCGGAAAAACACACCGCGCTCTGATGATAGCGTCAGGGGAATTCAATTGTGCCTGTCGCTCAACTTTCCATCTAAAACTAGTTAAAGTCCTATAATGTTAATGGTGTCGTGAGCAATAGCTGGACGACTTCTGTTTTTAAGTACGTTTTAAAGACATTAGCCTATGTCTGAAAAATTCTGTGCTGGTTTAGTCAGACCTGGGCCATATTAAAACGTTTGCAAATAATTAATCACTACTGATGCGAGAATGCTGCTTATTGTAAGATTGCGTGCTATAATACTACCAAACCAAATAAAGTCTCATTTTCCATTCTTGTATTATAGTGTGGCTATAAAGGCGCATTAAAATGGTCGTACAGATTCCTTGACAAATTGCTCAGTGCTTCTTCTTTATTATTTTCGTGTAAGAAGATCTTGTGTATATTGTTTTAACTACTGTAAACTGGATACTTTTAAACAATCGGAATATACTATACTATATACTGGGCTGTCATGGGCTTTCCATTACACAAATATGTGGATACAAAATATGTAGGCTATAGCCTATATACTCTGAGACGTGAACTGAAGTGTATTGTCCATGTTCTGGGTTTTATTTCGATTACTAATTAACTCCTTTTGTAATTCATGAGTTTAGCTGGATTGTTGACTCTGTGTTTATCACAATGTCATAAAGTCAATCCACAGAGTTATGAGTCATGTTTTCAATTACGCACGTAGGCTACATTATAAAATCATCTGTGGAAAAATCCTAACAGGCAAGAAATACATTTACAAAATACATTTCAATGATGATTTGTCCGCTGGTGTTTTTGAATAATTTAAAAAATATTTTTATTAGGCTGTTATTATCCTATTATTATTATTATTATTACAATTATTAATGTTCATTTACATATTTAAAGCGAAATATAAGAGCCTTTCATTTCGTTATTATGTCCATCTATTTACAGCCTTCCCAAGATCATGGAAAACTTAAGGATATCGGGAAGATTGTGCTTTACAGGCCAGGAAAACTGGCCTGGAAAATGAAGATTAATAAAATTAAAAAAACGTAATTTATTCTAGTTCAGCTCTAAAACATTTAGTGCAGTTTCTTTATATTTTATTTTATCTCAGCAATATCAAATGAATGGAACTCATTCAAAGTCATGGAACTCCACTGATCAAATATATTTGATTTTCAAATCAATGGAATTCGATTAAAATTGAAGCAATGGAAATTGTTAAAGCACACTTTAGGGTAGCTGTCGGTCCAAAGTCATCATGAACCAGAGGGGAAAAAAAAAACTTTTAAAGTTTGGATTTTGACAGGCCATAAACAAACCCCAATCGCTTTCAACTGCGACGTCTGCGTTCAAGCGATGATGGACATGTGCCACACGGATTTGACATTGGACTGAAAAACGTTTTGCTGGTTGTGGTCGAAAGGAACGGTTTTACAGACGGTCTTCTTTTGCACGATCTTTCAGCCCGATAGCAGGCCTTTTGAGAGAAGTCGCTTGTAGAGGAGCTGGCAACTGAGGGAATGTAGAGGGAAAACTAATGATGAAAAAGGTCTACTCCATCCCAACAGCGGCTTAATTAAATACATGGAAAGAAGGAAAGCAGCACATCTGGTTTCAATCCGTTTTCCTTTGATGGCATCAAGTGTTCTTTTCCCAGATCTGGGGCTGGAAGCTACGGGATGTCTGTGGCAGTGAGGAGCCTATAGACTTTTGCCATTGAAACACATGGACATCTACCTTGTGAAAGCCCCCACTTATAACTCACCAAGTGGTCTGACACTACTCCCAGCTGGAGATGTGTAGGCCACTGCAGCCAGAACTTTCTCCGGTTTTTGGTTTGACCGATAACATATATTTGCTCAAGTCTGTATGACAAAACATTATTTTTTAAAACGTTTTAGTGTTTAAACATCAATAGCTAATGCATGTGCATTGTTATGGTTATCAGAATATTCTTATAGGCTATGTGGTAGGCTACTATACAAATCTTTTAAAAATCTCAGAGAAATTTAATTATTTAATTATTTTTAATGAACGCCAACCAACATTATTTGAGGGCGCTCAACGAACGAATCAATTGGCAGAGTAGACATAATCATTTAGCTAATGGAAAGGATGCTATTCAAGGAAGCCAACGAAAACGCTGAATGCGTAATCAAAAATGCCTTCCCAAAAATTACTGTGACATAGGGCCGTTCACACCGAAAGGTCTACTGAGCTCCTCTTCTGTTATTTTTCTCTTTTTATGTAAATACGTGCTAAACTGACGTATTTTGAGCCAACATCTATTATTTTTGCAACATTTTGCGCATGACACCGCGTTCTAAAGACGAGGCGTTTTCCCATTCCACTTTTAAACGCAAAAACGCGTTCTGTGTAAACGGCCTCTTTGACAGTTTAACCTTACGGCCTCGTTTTCATTCGCGTAAAAATTAAAGATGGCGTCTGACTACTACAGCTATATAGGTATTCAACTAAACCATCCCATTAATGGACGTTTCCTGCAACCGTTACAAATGTCTTTGTGCCACCACTCACTTGAACATTGTTTTGAGCGAAATGATAATAAGTGACAGATATCTAATTCAGAGTTTGGGGAGGGTTAACCTTCGAAGGGAAGCTGTGATGGAGGGAGGGGGGCTGTTAAACGTCAAAGACAGCACAAAGTCTTTTGCCACATAATTACGAGAGCCTTTCAGCTCCATCTTCTCTCCCAGGGGTCTCAATTTTTCATTTACAATCCACTCCACTGCATGCCAGTGAGCGCGCCGTTTGAAGTGCCAGAACACGTGTGTGTGTGTGTGTGTGTGTGTGTGTGTGTGTGAGCAGGGAGCACGGCGTGGAGCAGAGGAGAGAGCCAACAGTTTAGGGAAGGCGGTGGAGTGTCCTGCCTCCTCTCGCTGCTTTACACACATGCATCTGAAAGGCATCAGCATTTCTGGATCAGCGCTCAGTCAACAACTGCGTGGAGCTCTGGGAGTTTTTTCTTATTGAACCAACAATACTTTGCAGAAAGATTATATGGCTTTGAGTGGACGCATTCAACAGACTTCGTGGTCTTTATAGTCCTATTAAGTTCCACAAAGTTTTATATCAAGTTGAAACATTGCTCCACCTGGATAAGTAGCTATCATAGTGAGCAAAGGCAGCCAAGGCATCGGTTTGGACGCGCTGTTCCTTATGAGTTTGTCTTCAAATTTACGCAAGGAGGACCTGTTTGGTTAACCTAATACACTTGCCCCGTTTTTTTCTCTTGTATCGTATTTGCGTCATGACTTCTAGCTATGCACATGTAATGGACAGACAAGCAACCATATCCAGCAGACTGGAGAGTCCCATTACAGCCAACCTGGAAAACCTGCAAGCTAAAAAGAACTTCTCGGTGAGCCACCTGTTGGATCTAGAGGAGGCTAGAGAAATGGTCGGTTCTCAGGCGGACGAAAGTGTTGGCGAAACGGGCAGGACTATGCTGGAATCTCCGGGTTTAACCAGCGGCAGTGATACAACACAACAGGA